CCAGACTATGGGGCTGGCGGGGTTTAAACCCTGCCCCAAGGCAGCAGCACACTGTGGCCTTGTTGAGATAAAGCCCTTGGACTTGCTGAAGGAACCCGGCTCTGGCCGAGACTCTGGCAGGACTAAGGTTAAGCCTCAGCCGGCCTCCACAGTGGTAAGCCAAAAGCCCACAGCTCCTTAAAACTTAGTGGATCTGTGCCTACTTATCTTTATGATGTTCCTCCTGTGACTCGGCAGTGTGGAATTTCCCTCTTAGTGAATCTCCTACGCTGACTTCTGTGGAGCCCCTCTGGTGCCTGTTACTCCGTCGCCATCTTGCTGGAAGTCCCTTCAGGACTCTTTTTCTTCTCTTCTCAATTACATACACTATTTTCCAGTCTGTAATTGTATTTTATTTTACATTTTTAGGATTAGGGTTACCAGTCTGTAATTTTTAAGACTGACTTCATGTTATGAGATGAAAGACAGTGTCAATGGGCTGAACATTAGAAGAGCATATAAAAAACCTAGCAATTTGGGATAATCGCTGGTATAGGGTAATTTTGCTATAAAACACACCGCCGTAGAGTCTATGCTGACTCTTAACGACCCTTTAGGACAGAACAGAACAGTTCCTTAGGCTTTCCAAGACTAAATCTTTACAGAAACAACCTCATCTTTCTACCTCTGAACGCTTGGTGAGTTTGAACCACCAGCCTTGTGATGTAGAAGATTTGGGTGCTCTACTTGCGAGAAGTAGGACAGTACTTGCGGGCCCAGCAGGAGAAAGCTAATATCTGTTCAGAGGCAAATGGAGAAAACATGAGAGGGATAATGCAGTGAATCTTTGGTGTGTGTATTCATTTTCTTCCCAACCTTTCTCAGCTGTAGTATAAACTTTTTAAGTATGACCCTCATATCATTGGACAGGAAAGATGGTATCACCCAGTGGAATAAACAACAGTAGAAAGATTGTATCTGCAAGTTTTTCCATTAATAGAGAACTTATTAAAATGAGCGGCTCATTTATCGCCTCGGTCTGGAAGCTAAGCTACCTGTAACTTAAATATTAACTTTGGATTGTCAGAGTCCGGAGAAGAGTAAGATGAGGTGCACAGCTCACCTCCACTAGACATCTCTGAAGCAGTGACATTGTCATTAAGCTTGGATACTCATTCCACTTGTCAGAGGTGCATCAGCCAACAAGTTTAGTGTTACTGCTAAGCCCTTAATGTGGAAACTGTAGGCGACTGATCTAGCACTTCCTTCAGAATGATCTCCTTTGTTGTTTTAAAGGCCAAACATGCAGCAGAAATAAGAGCTGATGGCATTGCTGTCATTGCACCTTTCTTTCTCAAGCCATGGAACAAAGGTAAGAGATCTGGACGTAGGGAACCAAGTGCCACTGGTGGGCGACTTTGTTTTGCTTTCTCACATCCCTGGAGGCCAGATACTTCTGGGAGAAATCCAGACGACTGTCTACTCAAGTTTACTAAGGATTTGGTAATTAAATCCTTAACCAAGTAGATAGTAGGTCAGTGTCCTCATGAAATGTCAACTATCGGTTGGTAGGGAAGAATAGTTTACTATTGTACATATATATAATTCAAATACTGCTAACTTGGGAATTTAGGCTTTTTTTAACTCATTGTTTTCCAAAAGGTGAAAACAAGGAAAATAGTGACTTAGGCGCAATTCGCACATACAGATCTAATACACCATCACAGGATTTAGATGGCAGCCAGAAAATCTCCTCTCTCGCTCCCCACTGACTTCCCTAGTGTAAGCAGCTGTGCTGGATTTATTTGTCATCTGTGGTAAAGTGACATTTTGAAGCTCCTGGATGACACGGAGGAAACCCCAAATCCTTAGTAAACTTGAGTAGACAGTCGTCTGGGTTTCTCCCAACAGGAGAAAGTACTTGGCTCGGTCTGAATTCCTGAGAGGTGTGTCACGACTATTAGACTGTCCCTCTGGAAGCGTTTGTCTGTCTTTGATAGAGAACCTTTCCCGGTGTAACCCTGCTGCCCCGTTCCTAAGGCAAGCCTCCATTGCTCCCTGGCCACACGTAGTCCTTCTGGAGTAAGAGAAGAATCTTACCTCCCCATGAATATGCTTTCGGTTTTTATAAAGAATCTTTCATGATCTTCGCACTGCACGGGAGTGTTGGTACCAAATTTTCAATAGCTTGATAAGAGAGTGGTCATCTTATTTCGGCCTTTCTACAGAAAGGGAAATAAGACCTTTGGATAAAGTGAATTGCAGGATCAGGACAATGGCAATATCGCCTGGTAAGCATGGTCAAGAATAAGGGGCCTCCAAGGATGCTGGTTGCATTTGAGCAGGTGAGCCGTTCCTGCCAGGTACAGCCCCTGCTTTACGCTTGTTCTCACCCTGGCTTTCCTCCTGTCTTTCAGATGTCCTGACTGACTTTCTCAAGGAGGTGGCTGCTGCGGCCCCGGCACTGCCGTTTTATTACTATCACATCCCCGCCCTGACGGGGGTGAAGAGTAAGTGCTGCAGCTGTTGATGTTTCCTCCCTCCCCCTCGCACAGCTGCCCCTGTCTCACTCAGGACGCCCGTGCCACCCGACCTTCCCCCAGGCACAGCTTCCCTGTCTCTCTCGGGACTCCCGTGCCACCCGACCTTCCCCAGAGCACAAAAGGCATGACAGCTTGGACTGGACAGTCCCAGTTGCTCTGAAATACGGCACTCTAACTCCCAGGCCTTTTCAACCACTGACACCTCCTGATAACGGAAGTTCTCAAGCATGAAGTAAGGGTTGACTCTGAGCCACTTGTAGCAGGCACCGTTGCCCCTTCAACCTGGGTCGCTATCACACCCCCAACCCTACTTCCTGCCAGGAAAGGGCCGAAATGATGTCTACCTTGACTGTAACCTCAGTTGCTGGCATATTCTAATGTACTCTTCTGATTTCCCCCCTTCTTTTTTTAATCCTTACTGTACTTTTCCAGCTAGAAGATTGTTACAACTAGATGGCATTTCTTAGGAGATTTTCTTTATCACATTTATTTTTAACATTCCTAAAGAAAAAAATAGACATGTGCTTTTTTACATACTCCCCCACTGCCTTCAAAGGAATAGAAAGCTCGGGACTCTACTTTGGCAAGCACGTAAGCACCACAAGTCAGGGACAAGTCACGATCCCATCCCACGTCCATAGCCAAGGCAGCTCAGGGAGCTGGGTGGGGCTGGTGCTTTCTAAGGTGTGCAGCCTGACGAGGCCTGGGTGGTTTACGCAGTCCGTGCTGAGGAGTTGCTGGATGGGATTCAGGAGAAGATCCCCACCTTCCAAGGGCTGAAGTTCAGCGACACGGACCTCTTAGACTTCGGGCAGTGTGTTGACCAGCATCGCCAGCGGCAGTTCGCCTTCCTCTTTGGGGTGGACGAGGTAAGTCCCCTCGGCACAGCTCAGCAGTTTCCCTTCCTTCCCAGCGCAATTCATTTCAGTAGCCGTTTACCTGGTAGCCTTTTATGCCTTTCCTTTTTCCGCTAAATCAGTGGTTCTCAACCTTCCTAATGCCGCGACCCTTTAATACAGTTCCTCATGTTGTGGTGACCCCCAACTATAAAATTACTTTCGTTGCTACTTCATAGCTATAAGTTTGCTACTGTTATGAATCATAATGTGAATAATTTGATATGCAAAATGTATTAGGCGACCCCTGTGAAAGGGTCATTCGACCCCCAGGTTGAGAACCGCTGTTCTAAATGAATCTTCTTTCTGTTTCTCCCTAGCAACTGTTGAGTGCGCTGGTGATGGGAGCAACTGGAGCAGTGGGCAGGTAAGTGTGACTCTTTCCCCGATGGCTCTAACTGTAAAAAAGTCGGTGTCCCAGTCCCCACCCGCACCCCCAGTACAGTCATTTCATCACTGAGGCGTTTTTGCACATTGCTGTTGTTAGCCGCCTTCAAGTCCACTCTGACTCACGGCCCCCTGTGTGCAAGAGAACGAAGCACGACCAGGTCCGTGGACTCACTGGTATGCTTGAGATTGGTGGTGTCGCCATCAGGGGGATCCCCGTGTAGCGCCTCATGAAAAGGGGAACCAATGGCCTTGGCGTGGAGTTCCCGTTCCGTGTGTCAGAGGGAAACATGCTTGCCCCAGAGGGTTTTCAATGGCAAATGTTTTAGAAGTGGTCATTAGGCCTTCTGAGGTGCTTCTGAGTGGACTCAAAGCTTTCACTGTTGCACTAGTAGCTGAGGGATTTAACTGTCGGCACCACCCAAAGACCCCTCCAGGGCAATATTGGAGAATATTCTGTTATGATCCATAGGACTTTTGTTGGTTCGTTTTCCATAGTAGGTTGCTAGGCCTTTCTTCCAAGTTTGTCTGAGTCTAGAAACTTCAGCGAAAGCTATTCACTGGGGGCGAAAGCTATTCACTGGGGGCGGTCCTGGCAGTATTTGACATATCACCTGCAACATCGTAGCAACATGTAAGCCCCACAGTTGCACAGTGTGCAGCGGATGGTGGTTCTTGTCTGCATACTATTTCTCATAGAAATGACCTTGGTTTCCCACATTCTTTTCATGAACGGGTATTCACTGGGGCCAAGCCACTTGTTAGGAAATCTGTTCACTGAGAGGTGAGATTGGGGAGGAGCTAAGAGCATGAACAGGGGTTGTCAGTGGGATCCAGCCTGTAGCTCCAGAGGCCCCAGTGTTCAGTGCTTCAAGTATGAGCTCATAGTCTTCGTCAGAAATTATTTGGTTACAAGTAACAGAAACCCATTCAAACTAGCTTGTGTACAAGAGGACAAGTTAGTATAAAAATACTGGGAAATTATGCAAAACTCAAGAAGAGAAAGTGCAGGTGGTCCTCAGAGGAGTGAGAACCAGCAACTGGGAAGCTCCCAATAGCCAAGGCCAGTCATCCTCCATGGTGGGCCTTGAGGACTCTGTCAGTCTGCCAGCTGGCCGTCTCCCTCTTCTTGTGCTCCAGGTGGGCTTTCTCTGCTCCAGCATGCACAGGACCAATCACAGCTGCCGGAGCATGGCACCTCAGGGTGCCACTCTGTGTAGAACTTAGACAAGTTTCCACCCAAGGTCCTGGCGTCTGTGGCCAGGGAAACAGAATCAGACAGCCAGTGTCTACTCCGCAGGAGGCTTAGGAAGAACAAACACCAGCTAACTCATTTATGAGAAGTATGGCTGCAAGTTGGGTAGTGGAACTATTTCCACTTATTGAAAGTGCCCTCCCTATAGCAAAAGTACAGAGAAATCAAAGCAATGCCCATACCTTATCTCTGTGAGCCTGACTCTAATGCAGAGGGGCCGATCAGATCCTCTTAATAGTTTGTTCCCAAGTATACCCAGCATCGCTACAGGGATGAATCAACCGAGGAAACTGAACCGTAGCCCATTCTTGTCTAAGTGGAGCACTCATAAGACCATGGGGATGCAAATTTTAGGATTCTGAAACTTCCAGCATCCACATACATATTGTGCCTTAGGGGTGTTTCACCTGTTCAGATGACTGATCTCCATCATGGTCTTTTTTCCTTGAATGTATGTTCTGGGTATCTCTCGCTATTGACTCCAGGATCTAGCTGCACATAGAGGGACCAACCACATTGTGTTCTTGGTGCATTGAGCTAGACGTTTTTTGGACACTGACTTAGATATTATAGGGAAGCCAGCCTGCTTTTCCTTTAAAGAAATTAGGGAAACACCCTCTTTATGCCTTCGGCAGTCTTCTTATCTTGCAGGTTTCTCTACGGCTTCAGGGATTAATCTTAAATATTTGTCTTTGCTGGTATAGTTGGAAATATTTTTTCTAAGTTTCCCAAAATGTATCGGCTCCAGTAACTGTGTTCCTGTTCATGTTTCTGGAATCGTCATAAGAATCCGCCTGAGTATGGAACGCCTCTCGGACTGTGCAGCAGCCCTTCTCTGAACCATCGATTATTCTCGGTGAAGCAGAAACCCCGTCTGGCAGGGTGTTTGAGGGGGTTAGGCATGATTTGTACACCAAGCACCTGTAATCAAAGAGATACTTAGTCATGTGTCCTTTTGTTATTCTCATTAATAGTCTTATTTTAAACTAGCCTCTAAGTTATATACAAGTTGGCTGAGAATTTTGTAATGTGTTAAGACCTGCTTCTTTTACAGTGGTGCATCATTCACGTAGTTTCTCAGCATAAGGCACGTAGGACTCACCTCTTACCAGACTTTACCCACAGTTCTTAGCCTCGGTGTGTTCCCTGGGGTGGGTGTTGGCCTCAGTTGCTCTTTAGTAAGTACGCTTCCAGGGTTTTGTTGTTGTTTTTAATTTCTCTATTCCCTTTACGGGAGCCTGGTGGTACAGAGATTACTTGTTGGGCTGCTATTTGCAGGGTTAGTGGTTTGAAAACACTAGCCGCTCTGAGAGAGAAAGAGGAGGCTTGCTATTCCCGTAAAGAGAGTCTTGGAGACTCGCCGGGACTGCTCTACCTTGTCCTAGGAGGTCACTGTCAGTCAGAATTGACTCAATGGCAGTGAGTTTTGAGTTTGTCCCCTTTTCCGTCCTCTGCCTCTCTTTCTCCTCTGAGGCACACCTGGAAAACTCCTCTCTTAATAGATTGAGGCCTAAAGAAGATCGGGGCCTTTGCTCTTGAGCTGTTGGACCTGTGGTAATTTGCTCTTTTCTTTCCAGTACCTATAACTACCTGGGGAAGAAGACAAACCAAATGTTAGAGGCTTTTGAAAAAAAGGACTTCTCTTCAGCCCTGAATTATCAGGTAAAGTTTTTCTTCCCATCACAGAAAGTATAGCCCTTTTTCTTCCTCCCTGGGAATTTTTAGGATCCCTGATGCTGTAGTGGGCTAAGCCTTGTGCTGCTAACCACAAAGCCGGTGGTTCAAACTCACCAGTTGCTTCTTGGGAGGAATATGAGGCTTTCTTTGCTCCCTGAAAGATGGACAGCCTTCTGAATCCTATGTCGGGCCTCAATAACTGAAAATCAACTAGAAGGCAGTGAGCTTGCTTTTGAGTTTTGAGAATTCTTATCCATCTATCTCATCAACATTTCTAACACCTGTTGTTATTAAAATTGCCTGACTCTTTTAGTTTTCTTCTGTTTTCTTCCTTAAAATCAAACCTGTCTCCATTGTCCATGTTCCCTACATGTCTAGTCAGGATAGGCCTTCTCCTCTGATCTTATTTCTACCACTAGTTGCTAGGTAATTGTATAAATGTAAAATTACCAGAGAATTGACCAGACACGAGTCTCTTGAGAACATCACACCTGCATGCTCAGGGATTAGGAGGGTGCTATGAACGTTGGATTAAACAGGGAAAGCTTAATCCAAAGTCCCAGCCATTCAACCCTCTTCCCTGAGAACTGGAAGCATTGACCAAGCAGGAAAGGAGAGGGGAGTGGGGAGTGGGAAAAGCAGACCTTGCCTTTGGAAGGGATAGGAGAGCAGCAGGAGCCTGAGGGGTTCCAGGGGCAACCCCAGGGGTCGTGGGTTCTGCCAGGCTGTTCCATGGAGGCCGGCTCAGCTGTCTGTGGGAAGAAGAGCCTCCCTGAGGGGTAGGAGCAGCCTCGCAGCTGGGGACTCTGTGTACTGAGGTAACTGCAGTGCGCCAGACAGTAGTAGGGACCCAGGAGCACAGGGAATAGAGGGAGCATGAGCAAGAGCAACGCAAGTAGTCGAGCCCAATACAGGCCCACAGGGCAGTTGTAAACAGGACAGGATGCCATCCGGACAATCAGCCGGATTACAAAACAGCAGGCCAAAGCATCCTGCCAGCTAGAGGAGTGCCCTGGAGCTCCAAGCAGGGAGAAAATAAAGAAGCAGTAGCCAAGAATGATTCTGCAGGTCTTTCTGAAAGGTGAGCCAGCCTAAAGGAACTTCCTTCTTGAAGTTTGAGTAGCTTAATCTAATCATCACTTTGGTTCAACTCCAGACCAGCTGAAACCAAGAGCAGGAAAAGGGTGGCTATGCCAACCACACCGACAGTTGGCCGGCTGGCTTAGGTCAGGTCAGAATTCTGCCTTCTGTAGCCGCTACCATCTCTGTATGCATCAAAGTAGTTACTGTCTTTTTTCCTCAGAGTCCTAGAAAAGTTGTTTTTGAAAATTCCAAACCCATCCCTTGCTAAAAGACTGGGACATCACAGACTGCAGTAAACTGCTTAACAGCTGGGACTCTCCCACTCCGTGATTTCTCTTCCTGGCTGGGCCTGCCTACCGGCCGGCCAGCCTCCCCTCTACTCTCCCTCCTTTTCCTGTTTTCCTATTTGTTCCACTCACATCGATCACGTCACCCAACACAATGTGGGTCGGAAGTTGTGTTTACCGTATCCGGTGCTTCTTAGAGCAGCCAGGTGTGGGAGTGGCTCATCTGTACATTCTTATGCCAGGGGTGAGATTCAAAGTTAAAAGGGTCAAGATTATGTTATTCATTCTCACGGACTTAACCGTCACCTGGTACATTTACAGAAGTGAAATAACACATGTACAAAGACACTTCTTACAGCACTGTTTACAACAGCAAAAGCTGGAGAGAGCCCAAACACCAGCACATAGGGAGATGGGCAGCCATACTGGTTGAGGAGTACAGTAGGATTCTGTACAGCCCTGGAAAGAATGAGGTCATTTTAAGTGTGCTGATATGGAAAGATCTCCATGATATACTGGGGGGGCGGGGGCAGGGGAGACAGCAAAGGGTGGGGAGTAGGACATACACATCAATGTTTGTGCAGCTGGGTGTGGAAATTTCATTCTGCATTGAGGTTTTTGCTAAGTAGGGCGGAGTAGAACTTTCCGCACAGGGTTTCTGAGACTGTAAATCTTTACCGAAGCGGATTTCCTCATCTTTCTCCCAAGGAGCAGCTGGTGGTTCAAACCACCAACCATTCGGTTAGCAGTCCATTGTTTAACCCATTGTGCTTCAAGGCTCCCACCCAGCTGATTAAAGTGTAAGGTATATTTTGATAAGTACTTGTTAGTAACTGAAAATGCATCTTAATCAGATGGGTGGATTGTCTTTTTTTTAAATACCAAATAGTTCATGAATCCATGGATGAATATTTCTGAATGCCGAGATGTTAAGACTTGGCATCAATTTAGTTCTGTTTGTTTGCTTGTTTTCTGTTTTCAGGACAGCCAGGTGTCAAGGAATCCTGTTCGTATAAATTAACAGATAAGAATGGAAGGATTTTTGCTATTGCAATGTCACTCAATTCTTTGAGCATTCTCTGAGTCGCATGTCAAAAGCCATAGAATGCTCGGTAATTTCATGATTTTCACCTGACAACCTCAGCAGCAATGTTGAGATGAATTTTGGAAGAATTGAAGGCCTTCTCATTTCCCAGGGAATGTGTTGGCCATTCATGAGAGGAGCTGCTTTTCCACTCTCATTAGCAATGTCAATGTCATTTAGATTTGCTCCTGTGCTTGATGTCCCAAAGGTGTGGGAGATTTGTCCTTATGTTTTCAGAAGCAGGTGAGGGAAGACTGTTAAGGAGAAGTATGAAAAACAAAAAACAAAAAACCACCTACGCTTTTATTACAAGTGAATTCTTAGACTGATGAATCTTAGGAAAGAGTATTTACGGGCATTGAGGGTCTAGAAATGAATCCCCATACATCATCACCGTAGCCAAGGTATACAGATGCATATTATTAACGAGTGCCAAGGGCAGGAGGTGGGAGTGAGGCGGGGTCATTGTTCAGCATTGAGTTTCTGTTAATGGTGATGGTTACACAGCATTGAGTAAGTTAACTGGTGGCATTAAACTCTGCACATGAAAAACACGGAAGCTTTGAATTGGCAAGTGTTGTGTTGATATATATTTCTACCACACTGAAACAAAAGGAAATTTTATTCAGGGAAGGGAAAAACAAACCGTGTAACCACCCAAAGAATGAGTAAATGTGAGCCTTGCCCAGTGCTCCTTGGAAAGGCTCCCTGGGTATCGTGGAAAGTACCCCAGAGGTATGCTTGCCTCGGTCTGCAAGTCCCTACAGTAGTGGACAAGTTCAGCTGCCGTAGGTAAGCCAGACGACGGCATGACACAGCTCTGTTGCTGCAGCTCTTTTTCTGCAGACTTATTTTATCAACCTGAATCTGTGAAATGATACTGCCTTGTCTGGAATGGGTCTCAGCCTGGGCGGGTTCTTCCCTCCTCCGACTCTGACAGACCTTTGGAAAATTAAGTCGTGCAGGTTTTTCGTGTGGCGTTTCTGTCATTTGACCTCTGGATTTTTCAAATTGTGATCACAGTTGAGTAATATTGACTGTAAACCTGTTTTGCTTTTCTAGTTTTGTATCCAGAGGTTTATCAATTTTGTGGTGAAACTAGGTAAGTGCTCACTGCTGTGCCTGCTGCCGGGGCGATAACGGAGCCGGGGTCCATCGCTCTTTCCTCAGGGTCACAGGGACACTTGCTCTGCTCTGCTGTGGCAGAGCTCTCTTCCTCACCGTAACTCTCAGAAGCAGCCCTGTAGGACCCGCTTGAAGCCAGCATGGAAGGTCTTTGGTATCTCTTCTCCGTCTCTTCCACTTTTCTGCTCTGCCTTCTCTGCACTCCCTCTGGTTAGTTCAGCGGTTCTCAACCTACCTAATGCCGCGAGCCTTTAGACAGTTGCTCATGGTGTGGTGGTGACCCACCAGCCATAAAATTATTTTCATTGCTACTTCATAACTGTAATTTTGCTACTTTTATGAATCGGGTGACCCCTGTGAAAGGGTCATTTGACACACACCCCTAGGGGTCAAGACCCACCGGTTGAGAACCACTGGATTAGTTGCCTCTGCTCATTAAAATTCTAGCGCCCCCCCCCCCTCACTGTGCCTGATTTCAACCTAAGCACTTTAAAAAAACAGCAGTCTGAATTAGGCTCCTTACTGAATTGTGACTGACAGGTCTCCCAAGTGTGTGAGTCCTTTTAAAACCGTTTATTAAACACAAGTAAGCTCACACAGTTAGGGGCTTGAATAATATGACAAAGTAAAAGTGGGAGGAAAGTAGAGGATTTGAGTTAGAAAAGCTTCTCAGAGTCTCTTAAATCACATCCCATGGCAAGCGACATTGCCACCTCCGCTCCACTTCTGCATGAGCCTGACCCTTCCGGAAACCCCAGGGAGAGTTTGAGTGTATTTGTGACCGGCCCCACACCGCCTGTCAGAGCCTTCAGACTCTCCTGGCAATTCATCGTGGCCCCCACCACCTACCCTGCCCTCGTTCTGCTAGTCCTATTTCACTTTCGAAGACAGTCCTTCCCGTTTGCATTGCCACTTTCACGGGTTTTGCCATGTGTGTGCCATCAGTACTATCAGTTACTTAAAGTTAGCCCCTTCTCCTAAGCCATGTCTTTCACCAAATTGTGAATTTGGAGCAGTAGCTATAATTCTAGTGTGCATTAAAATAGATGTTGATATTTATGCATCGATGTGACTTTATGCACATATACACTTCTGCACTCGACTATCTTGTTATCTACTATTTTGCACATTCTCGGTGTCAAACTATTTCGTACATCACTAATGTACGTCTGGCAGTAAGTGAGTGCCAAAGGGGCAAGGTGAGAGTAATGTTGGCTGTGATGGTTAAGCTTATGTGTCAACTTGCCGGGGCCATGATACTCATTAGTGTGGCAGGTATGTAATGAGGTGGTCACCCTCCTTTTTGTGATCTACTCTGATCCTCCTCCATGTTCACATTACGACCTGGTCTCTGAAGCCTGCCAGTGCGGATGAATGTGCTCCTTTATCAACTCCACTCACTGCCATCTA